ACATTGAATTTTATTGGACAATTAATTGGACTAAGTCCAATTGCATGTCCAATTATCCAATTGGACGATTGGACATAATCCAAATCCAACAAAATCTATTTAGACGATTTGGACAATTGTACGCTATTGATCTATATCCAATTGTTTAATTGTCTAAATCGTCTAATTCAGTCAATTGGAATGAGTCCAATGCCAATACTGATCGTTATCGTCATCGTCATCATCATCATCCTTATTACCTTATCTTTATCATCCTCATCATCATCATTCTCATCATTATCTTCCTTATCTCTATTCTCATTATCTTTGCAAAGTAATGACTTAGTGAACCATTATATCCTTTATGAATCTAATTTGGGACATTCATAGGAGCTTTATCTTCATCGGCTGCAAATCTGTCATTATTATAAATTCGCTTTCTGGTTCTAAGATCTTTTGATACTATAGTATCAATATAATTTCTCAAAAAATCACGTAACTATTTTTTTTTAAAAAAAAACTTAAATTAGCATAACATACCAATTAGTAAAAAAAAAAACAAATTGATTAAATAAAATCACGGTAGAAGATCATCATCGCATGTCTTTGATAATAATTTTTCTTTTATCATTTTCTTTGTCAGTTTCTGATTCTTCTGAACTGTGATAATGGTTGTCAGTTCGAATCAGTTGAAGTTTATGGTCGTGAATTTTCCAATCAAACGATCTTCTAACCTTATTAATTTATTAATCATTTTTATATGGCGTTCTCGTTTCTAAATAATAAAAAGATTAAAAAAGGTGGAAAATAAACAACACGATTTTTACTTACTTTACTATGTCTCGCATTTACATGTTTCCTTCGTTTTTCTACATCGTTCCAATTTGATCCTCTGTTTTCTTTGAGATGTTCCTCTCTCTGATGACAGTGTCTTTCATGAATCATATGCTTTATGATACTATCAGAAACTGAAAATTTCCTCTTAATCGATTTTGAACAATTAGTATTATATTATTATTAACGGTCTTTCGTTGACTTTCAAAGTCCTGTTGATATCCAATCTTTGGTTTTCTGGAAATCTATCAATTATACCAAAGATTTCAGTCTATTTAGATACAAATCGGTTAGTAACAATTCACACAAATAAAAAAAAAATAAAAAAAAATTGTGTTACTCTCAAAGCATTACGTAACTTCTTATCTATATCATCGTAATAAAGATATATTGGACTAGGAGAACCCGAAGGCGAAGGTGAAGGAGAAGAAGAGGAAAACCGATTGCTTGATTCTGAACGTTCTTTTTGTGATTGTGATCGTAATCTTTTCAAAGAACCAGCCTGCTATCTTTATCCAACATTTTTCGAAGAATCAGCCTACCCATATCCAATATTTCTTTTATTTGATTTATTTTGAAATAGAGCATATTGGCTTGCTGTTTTTTCTTGAAACGAGCATATTGGTTCTTTCGGCTTGCTATTTTTTCTTGTTCTTCTTGATAATTTTTTGGGACCTCCTTTTGTTTGTTTTTATCTTTTTTTACTAAGGTTTCTAGCAATCTTTTAATTTAGTCTACTTGAGTTTGTAAAGAATCTATTATATTTCAAAAAAGAAAGTTAATTTTATTACAAATAAGGTATGTCAAAT